TTGTGGTGTGTGTTGTGGTGTGTTAAAAAATCTACCGTTCCCGCACCATTGACCATTGTGTAAGTATCATATATTTGTTATGTAGCTCCAGGGATGATCTTACCTGCCGCCTAAACTGGGAAGGAAACACTCTCTGAATATGAAACAGGGGAAATTAATGGTAACTGTAGGCTGAAGGTAAGCAAGTTTCTAAGATTTACTTGCCATTTTACATGTACACAAGACAAAAAGACCATCAAAACTGACAGAGTGCAAAACATTTAACAGGCTTCTGTTTCTTACTTATCTGATGCGAATATAGTACCTCCCTAGACGGTTGCTTTTTTAATCAGCTTACTACTTATTTAAAGCAATGTCACTGTCATCGTTTTAGTTTATAAATTGTAAGTACACTTTTAAACATCCTCTTCAGTTTCCATCATAACTATTAATATTGGAAATTTCCTCTTGCACAGGTGTTGCATCAGCTTTCGACACTAATGTGTCATCAAGTTACGATGCAGAGGTCAAAGACACCATTATCATTAGCCTCCATAAGAAGGTCACGGACTCGAGAAGTGAGAAGCTTGTTACTGCCGTCTCTCATCTCCTGCAGAAGAGAGTCAAAGGATCTTTTTTTCACAACGAATCGTGATATGAACTGCGTTGAAGGTTTTGCCAAGATCGGCATAAGCATCCTGGCAAACCAAAACTTTACCATGGTTATAAAGTCACCGGGAGGCTGCGCCGAAGTATTTCTGAGTGTTTTGGCAGCACTGCTCAGAGCCAACAAGTTTACGATTATTCCTGAGATAGTACCGATTGGGGCAGTGCTTCGCCATTCATCCTTGAAGTCTTCATAGCTCGAGCTGGGAATATGGGCTCCCATCGTGTCTGTAGCAGCGGTGAAGGTGGAGTAATATTGTCGCAAGATCTCCTCCAAGTAGTTCTTGCGCAGAGTGAGACTGGTGGAGCTACAAATCATAAAATATAAGTACAACACTGGGTTGTGCCATCGTGCGGCCTCCCAGTCGATAAGCATCATGCCAGCAATGTCCCTCTGACCGTCTGGCTTCGTTTGTTTTGTGATTAAACATTATGTTATTTATCCAGAAATCACAGTGGCAAAGACAAATGATACTCTGAGCATCGTGATTTTTCATTGTTGATTCGTACAAGTTTAAAATTGACTCTTTGCTCATTTTCAGTTTATTAAACAAGTTTCATCTATTGTGTCCTCGAGCATTTGTATGCAATTCTCACAAAGAATAGTTACAAATGGAATCATCAGTGTGTAAAAACTTTCTATTGAGAGAAACGCAGGATACTTTTCAGTGAAGCTGTGGATCTTGTCATAGGCATAGGAGACCGCGTCCAGTCAGGCTCAGGTCAAGACCCTCTGACAGGTCCTCAGTCTCGTATGCCGCGGGACAAAGGTCTTCCATTATCACGACGTAATCATCGCCAGTGCACTTGCCATAGATGAAACAAGGAATATCTATTCGATATCTATCCTTAGCTAAGTTGGCCTGAAACACATTCAGCTCAGGGATTATCTTGGAATAGATCAGAAACTCCCTCCACTGTCCATTGTTGTGCTTTACAAACTCTTGGCTGAAGGCATCAGAATAGATGAATTTGCCCATTAAACTGTAGTGAGCACAGTGGTGGTGGTGGTGGTGGTGTTATTGTGTCCTGACACCCGCGTCTCCACGTCCAACTTGACCAGTGTGTTGAAATTCTCACCCGGCTTTGTACCTAAGGGCTAAAATAATTATTGCTAGAATATTCTGGTCTATCTGCTCATGTAAATATAAATATTTTCATTTAAATGCAAATGTATTGACCACCGTTTGTTAAACATTGGTTAATGACACAATCGAACGCACAAAGTGGCAATAAAAGCGAAGAGGAGTCAGATATACAATGATTATTTCATGTTTTATTGTCCCCTCGAGGATTTCTTTGTACCATGGAATACTCGTATATGATAAATATCAGAGTTGCTATCACTCAGCTGCCTCATGAAGGCAGTGAATAAACAATGTTCCACATGGAAACTTGGTCAGATGGATCCTCTTGTTTGAGTAAAATGCCTTTTCATAGATCTCTCAACATTACGAGATTTGAGAAAAAAATTGCAGCAATACGATTTTAAACAATTCAGAGAATAGGCAAAGTTCAAGGAAGCTGCCGGTCAGTCCAAAACCAGCAGGTCACCGCTCTCGTTAGTAGCTTAATGTGTTCCATCCAACTCGGTGTTCTATTCTCTTTGCATTTGTGGTTAGAATGTGTATCGAAATGAAGCTTGTTGCATGCATCTTATTAAACCTGCATGTACCAGTTGCGAGAGAGCGCTTCCCTGCTAGTTTTAAACCTGGCTTGGTTTCGAAACCTGCTCATTTTTTGTCATTAAATGGTACCTATATAAAAAAAAAGAGATAGAAAAGACTAGAACCTTTGTGCATGTGATCACCCACGTTTACGAGGAAGGGAGGGGAGACAAACCCCCCACCCAATGGGTCTATAATCACTAATCGATCAACGGTATACATTCCTAACTCATTCGATTTCGCAGACTCGTAATGGACGTTATACTTATTCAAAACCTATAATCAGTTCACATTTATATCTCTCTCATCTTCGATGATTACTCTGATAACCTTATGGGTTCCTGTTACTTCTCTGAACTATCGATATGTAGCACTGAGATTGAATTTCCGAAAATTTTTCTTCTGATAACTCATGTCTTCAACCCCGGAGGTAAAAATCTAGAGTTAGCGGCTTCACTGAATTCTTACTTCTTGGGCCTATTCTTGAAGCTGTGTATTGAGTTTGCTTGTATGTGTAAAAAGCAGCATATAGTTACGCAAACATCTAGATAGGTTTAAAACTTCACCTCATTATAAATAATACTTCGGATTATCATGTGTGAGGATAATTCTTGAGGTTTCTGCTTGTGCTGGACTGGACTTTGTTATAGAGGTGATGGTAACAGTGAAAGTATTTATACTGGATCACATCCAAAGTACTTCCTTGAATTTCAATATCACTTTACAAGCAAAGCAATTAGTGAAGAAAAGACTCACGTTACGGGAGAATTTTATTGGGACGTTTCGCTATTTGTTATGATTTAATGACACCAGAGAGCGAAACGTTATCTCTTCTTATGTCTTCTCTTCACAAAGCAATTAATATTGCATGAAGCATCAGTTATCAACAACTGAATTCAGTCAAGAGATACACCCAGCAGCTTTTATTTTCTTTATTAAACTGCAATGATATTTCACCTCTTATTCAGAGCATTTAATGAACGTGTCAGTATATTCTTTAGTTCAGTGTCGTGTAGCGTTAGTTGTTGATTGACTATAATGTATTTTGTTTCCTCTATTAATGTATTGCGTTATTATAAATTTAACGTATTCATCTTTACTGTTACAATTTAAGGCTGTTGATTATTAACTCTTTAATGTAGAGACGTTTAGTGAAATTATTTTTGGCAAGATTCTAGTTATTTAATATATTTTTATGTGGTGAGAAACAAGCACTAGTAACACTAAGTCATTATGAGTTAGTTAAGAACTACAAAGTAAGAAATCTTTTCTACAGAAGTCGTGTTTATATTATGGGATTTTCAACTCTTATTCGCTTCTGAATTACCTTTCATGTTAAATATTGTGTAAAACTAGGTGATCCTATCTTGAGAAACTTGCATCAGACTTATCACCCATAATGAAAACATCTTATTGACGTAAAGTAGCGTCTGGAATATTTATAAAGCTTTTGTTTTCAATTCCTTTATACATGTGAGCTTAAACTACACAAGTCAAATTAGCGAAAGTCAAATTAGCATAAGCTATATATGCAGGAGTCGGGCATTACCGTAACTATTTATATATGTCAAGTGAGCGTCACCAGTGAAAACTCACCAGGAGCTGCTAGTTTAACATGGATAACTGGATATAACTCAAAAGCACGATGGACCTAAAAATCAGCAAGAACGTCTGACCTGGGTTGATCTGGAAGGATGTGACCTCCACCATGGTTCCTGGACGTAGTTTGGATTCGTACTCGCTAAGGATGACTTCCAGCCACTCCTTGGAGATCTCTGAACTATTTCTGGGAGTCGCTATGGCTTCCATAATCTCGTTAAATCTGTTGGTATTAAGTTTGTAGCCATTACTCTCTGCTCAGATTATTATTATAGTTATAACGAAGCGCTAAACCCACAAAGGTCATATAACGCTGCAGGGTAGGGAGGGCTAAAATTATTAATTATTAATTATTATTATTATTAATTATTATTATTATTAAAGATTCGCCGGTATTCTCCCGGCACGGGCCTTTTCCAAGTGGTGGCCCGGCCTTGGCTCCCTGTCTTGGGAGTGTCTGAGACCTAAGTCTCCCATGGGAGGAGGCACAAGTACCTCCTCATCTTTGGGACCAACTGTCCCCAGGTCTAACCACAATTTAGGTCTCTCTGGTCTGCCATCCCTGCCCCAAGGGGCCTAATGGGAATGACAGTCTTGTGAGCTGCAAGCTCGGGCTCAGGTACCTACTCTACCCTAGAAGGGCTAGGCATGGTGTTGATGTTTATACTTAATCAGAGAGTAGCGAAGGTGGAGAGAATAACAGAGGTAGAGTTAGTAAGGGCGGTGTGAAGTGCTAAAGAAATATAATCAAAGTTTGTGTAATAAATCTTAATAATTCTGTTGCTGTCAAAAAGTCAAAGAGGGAGTATGTGTCAAAGGTGGGGCTGTCAGCGAGGAGGGAAGATAAAGGGTGTTAGAGCAGTGACGACGATGGAGGCGAGGTAAATTCTGCGTGATCGCTGGTAGACAGGACAGTCCAATAGAAAATAAACTGAAATTGGAAACTGACAAGTTTCACAGAGTAGAACTTGGCGCCTCTCCATGAGATACCCGTGAGTGAGACGTGTGTACTAGATGCGATGACGGGAAAGTGTAGTCTCCCAACCACGACATCGATAAGAAGACCAGAATCCTAAACACGGCTTCATAGATCTGCACAGATTAGGTTATTAAGGATTTCGTAAGTAGTACAAACATCTTTAATTCATTTGCTTTACAGGCAATTTAAAAATTCCTAAAATAACTTGACCTTCGAAGTTTCAATTGTGGTGACATACTATTTTCCAAAAATATAATTTGAAACCACTCGAACTACAGTGAACCACAAATTACTGTGTAATTATTTGTATTCTTTCACGGGAGTTTTATTGTATATTCGGACACTGACGGTACTCAGAAAAAAGACATGCTGAGTAAAAACCCAAATTAAGTAAATTATAAATGTGCGGAGAGGAACGTGAACTATGGTACTGACAGGTAGCAGGTCCAGCGCTATACCGCTGAGCTACGAGGCTTACAAACAGAAAGGTTACACAGACAATAATTCTGTGAGTTGTTTGGTTCAGCGGCACCATCTGTGACGCAGCTGGTCCTTCCAACACTTCCAGAAGCTTTTATTTTTATTCTCGTACCCCTCAAGCCCAATAAAGTCTGTAAACTGAAGACAAACTAAAGAAATGAGAATATATATGGCTTTGAAGGGTATTAGAACAGATGTTCTATGAAAGCTTCTGGAGGTGTTGGATGGGGCAGTGGGGTCACAAATGGTGCCACTGACAGACACCTCACAGAAGTGTTATCTGTGAAACCTGTCTATTGATAATTGGGCTTGCAAACTATTTGGATCACTGATAGTGTCGATTCTTCTGTTTATTTATATATGTGTGTACGTGTGTGAGAGAGAGAAAAAAAAATGAGAATGAGAGAGTGAGAGAGAGAGAAAAAAAAAACAGAGACAGACAAAATATTCGGAGGGAGATATGACTTTTTTTTTCTTTTTGAACTTATGTAGCTGAGCTCATCTGCTAATCTGTGAATATTACAGGACGTTACATGGTCACATTCAGGTGAAAGTGCCAGACGTCAGTCTGAGGCCGCTCAAGATAACTGACACTACCACACCTAGTTATTGTTTAAATGATCACTCAGCGATGCTATCGGATAATGAAGGGTTTAGGGTTTATTAAGTAAGAAGTGATAAAATTGACTTTATGTCTTCATGAGAGTAACTTAAGTTTAAGTTGAGTTTAATTCTTGATTCTTTAACCTCTCATTTTTAGAATAATGTTTTAAATTCGTTAGTGTTGTAATGTAAAAATTATAAATCCTTAAAATTTTGTAACTTGATTCTACATCATAAAATATACTCTAGTTCTTACATAAATCATAGAACAACGATAAGTTAATATTTAGAAATAATATTCACCAATGTTTCACTAATATAAAAGGTACCATCCTGACCACAGTACCAACTTCATCAGTTAATCTGAATACTTCTTGCTAAAGACAAATTTGAGATTATTTTCACTACATTTCCGAACATGTCACTGAATCCCTTTAAATTTATCGGTGTAACTATAACTTAAACACCTTCACAAGACAGCACAAGAGCATTCCAACTGCACATCGACACTGCCGTAACAGCGTTTGCATTTAAAGTGTTTTATGTGAAGACTCTGGCGATTATTCTGTTCTTATTGCAAAACGTTTTCACATGTGTTTGTTAACTTCTCGCGACATCTGCTAGTGGATAAACTCCTGTAAAGTGCTGCATGATGTTTTCTCGTGTGACGACGGGATGTGTCTGTGTCTGTCACGACGGGCTGCGCCTGTGTATGTCACGACGGGCTGCGCCTGTGTCTGTCACGACGGGCTGCGCCTGTGTCTGTCACGACGGGCTGCGCCTGTGTCTGTCAC